TTTTTAGCCGTTTTCAAGAAAAACAGTTTTTTTTCTGGGCTATCATGCTATTATAAAAGGTGAGATGTTTGTAGTTCGGCTGATTGGATGTTCAAAGAAAGAAAGCCTTCTTTGGTTGTCAACCATGTTGAAAAACAAATTTGATGCTGTTGATATTTGCGAAAGTTTCATGAAACTCATTGAAGAAAAAACGCGTATTTTTTGAAATTATTTATCAAACAAAAACGAAAATTATGGAATTATTATCCCGTTTCTTACTGATGAAGTTGTTTTAGAAATCAAAGCCAACTGTGTCGACTAGCAGCCGGATTCTAACTTTCGCTATCGCTAAAATATGCTAAAATGCGAAAGCTAACATTTTATGATGAGCATCCTTCGCAAAAAGGCAAATCCTTGAGAGAATCTACGAATTGCAATTTCGAAATTTTTTGCTCAAGGTGAATAGAGCTTTAAACATTCCTTTCGTAAATTAGTTTCAAAAACATTCGTATTCTTTTCAGGAAGTTACCAGCGGTTTTTAGTAAATGTGTTACAACGCAGCATTTGCATTCTGAATATAAATAATATCGGTGGACAATTTGGGAAAAATCTTAAGTGAAAATGCTTTAGGAATCTCTCCTCAAGGCATATCTGTGAGACAAGTAGCAAATATTTTTTTTTTTGTAAATCCCTAGACGAAACCATTTATGTACATAAGACCATACTTATTTTATTCATGTAGCTCAACCCCCTCCGGGTTGAGTATGGTAAGAAAATAACTTGTTTCAAAACCAAGCTAATTGAACAATGTCCCATGGACAGCCCCTGTGGAAGTAGCACACTTTCTGGGCCTCCCCCTAGCTGAAATTGACGACAACGTTGACGGATGAGCCGTCCCGAACGGGGCTTAATAGCCGCTACAACAACAACAACAACAATGTTTTCGAGAACTACCTAAACACATATACTCATCATTTGAACATTAAAAATTCTTTTTTACGAAAGCCGAGCCATGTTTTTACATTTTATTTACTGACTACACTTTTTTTAACTGTTTCCATCCTTTTGCATTAAAATAATTCGATATTTTAGCTGCTATTAATTTCGCACAGAAAAAGTAATCATTTGACCTAATGTGCGTTTGTACGAAAAATTGTTTTTGCGCCAGAGCACGGAAAGACTCTTGTAAATTATTAAATAAAACACTGAAAATCGGGATTTAATCGGTAAAAATATGGAAAAATCGCGCAGAACATGGACGTTGTCTAACAAAGATGAGAAGGCTTTGGGTGCTTTCGAGAGAACTATTCTATGCAAAATCTATGGCCCTGTTCGCGTGGGTGACGCGTACCGAAGAAGATGGAATGACGAACTGTAGGAGATTTTTAACGACATGGACATACTAGTTAAATGCATAAAAATACAACGATTGCGCTGACTTGGACATGTTGAAGACGCTCCGTTGAAAATCTCCTTCGGCTGCGCATTAGGGTGGTCCAAAAAAAATTCATGTGAAAAAGTAAAGGGGAATTTTTATGCTCTCACCCCCTAGGATTGTTCTATACCAAAAAAAAAATATATCCCCTATTTTTTTTTTAATTTTAAATCAAACAAGTAAGAAAGTCTAAGTTCGGGCGGAGCCGAACATTAAATACCCGGCGCAAATATTAAATATATGTTTTTCACGTTTCCGAAAGCTACCGCTAAATTTCGACATATTGAAGTTTGAAGCATTTCTGAAATTTGCCTTTATATGAAAAGTGGTCGTAATTTTAATCTGATTCCAATACTTTTCAACGTTTTGCTTCTATGTGGCAAGCACAATAATCATACCGAGTTTGGTACAAATTGGTAGAACGGTTACCGAGATACATATATGTGATCATAAGTGGGGGTTGCCACGCCCATTTTTCAAAATTATATCAACGTACTTCTTGGTAAAGAATTGTTGCAAGCGTCAATTTTGAATAAATTAGCTTTAATATTTATTGATTTATCGAAGATTTCGTATTTCTCCAAATTACCGTTATATGGGAGGTAGGCGTGGTTATTGCCCGATTTGGCCATTTGGTATGCTGTAGCAGGGCTAACAACTGTGCCAAGTTTGGAAGAAATTGGTGCAGCGGTTACCAAGATATACACATGTATCCATAAGTGGGCGTGGCTTCGCCC